TTTGAAGTATTTCTCCCTGGGCATTACGTCTTTGCTTCATTATGATTGGTTGGTTTGTCCCATTTGTGTCACTGTTTGCGAAGAGGAACAACAAACATGGCATCTTGTGAACACATTGTCCAAATAATTTAAGCTTCTTTTCCCACTTGAAATCATTAAACCCACATTTTTCTACATTTTCTCAGAAAGTCAATAACACAGATTATGTCCCCTGTACACTCAACTTTTAGAAATAATTGTTCCTGGAAAAAACAACCCAGAAATTTCTGCATGTGAAATTTCATGACCAAAAATGGTTAAAAATGACCATTTAAGAGTTTCAGCTCCTTAGGCCTTGTAGTTTCAGAGATGTTGAAAATATAGAAGTCACCGACTGACAAAATGCCACAACATCAAAAAATGTGTTGTAATATAAAATCTAAAAATTTGAATTGCCTAGCTCCTCCTTAGAAAAGATTTTTTGCCCGAAAATGTACCATATATGACAATAGATAACCCAATTTTGAGGACCAGGAAAACCACAGCCTAGACAATTGTAGGTCTGTGTAAAGGTTACACTTTCATCCGACACTTTTTCTGTTGGTGAAAAACTACCTCATATCACTTCAGGTCAACGAACAACGCGATAACAAACTTTGTAAACGAAAATATGAAATTTGCGATTAAACATCACTGGACATGATGATCTTATTCCATCTGTGACTAAATTCCCAGGCCCTCCGCTCACAGTTGGTTGGTTGGTCTGTTGTTTAACGCCGCACTCAGCAATATTAAAGCTATATGACGGCGGTCTGTAAATAATTGAGTCTGGACCAGACAATCCAGTGATTAATATCATGAGCATCGATCCACGCAATTGGGATCAATGACATGCATCAACCAAGTCAGCGAGCCTGACCACCGATCCCGTTAGTCGCCTTTTACGACAAGCATAGTCACCTTTTACGGCACCTAGACCGATTCTACCCCAGAATCTTCACGGGTCCCTCCGCTCACAGAATATTTTAATTGGTCGTGCCATGTTGTTTCCATGCTCTGCATGAGGCTGTATACAAGAGCATGAGTGTCATGGTACTACCAATTAAACATAGGTCTGCTCCGTTTTCATACAATGACCTTTAAACTGACAAGTGTAACTCAGACCCACCGTTGAACATCCTGTTGATTAATGGTATTCTGTTAAATGTCAAACACGCAAGATGTGTATCCCGCGAAACAATGAAAGCCACGTATCACATGTCGCAAGGTGACTTCCCACCTCTACACTACATCAACTATCTGGCAATAATAAAGACAGCTATTGTGAACTTAAGATGCCATTTCTGAGAGGTTATCGTGGCGGAATGCCCAGACAGTGTTCCCTTTGAGCACATGTTGAGAATGCTTAACACTCCTGACATGAGCTACACTTTATAACTTCTTCTTGATCTTTCTCATCCAGTGTAATATACACATTCCCCCATCATACCCTGGGCCCTGTGAAAATATTTATAACATCATGCCTTATCTCATCCTCACTAATACAGGGCAATATACACATTCCCCAATCATACCCTGGACCCTGTGAGAATGTTTATAACTTCATGCCTTATCTCATCCTCACTAATACAGGGCAATATACACATTCCCCCATCATACCCTGGACCCTGTGAGAATGTTTATAACTTCATGCCTTATCTCATCCTCACTAATACAGGGCAAAATACACATTCCCCCATCATACCCTGGACCCTGTGAGGATGTTTATAACTTCATGCCTTATCTCATCCTCACTAATACAGGGCAAAATACACTTCCCCCCATCATACCCTGGACCCTGTGAGAATGTTTATAACTTCATGCCTTATCTCATCCTCACTAATACAGGGTAATATATACATTCCCCCGTCATACCCTGGACCCTGTGAGAATGTTTATAACTTCATGCCTTATCTGATCCTCACTAATACAGGGCAATACACACATTCCCCAATCATACCCTGGACCCTGTGAGAATGTTTATAACTTTATGCCTTGTCTCATCCTCACTAATACAGGGTAATATACACATTCTCCAAACATACCCTGGACCCTGTGAGAATGTTGAACACTCCTGACACGCGATACATCTTATAACTTCCTGCCTTGTCTCATCCTCATTAATACAGGGTAATATACACATTCCCCCATCATACCCTGGACCCAGTGAGAATGTTTAACACTGCTGACACAAGATACATCTTATAACATCCTGCCTTGTCTCATCCTCATTAATACAGGGCACTATATACATTCCTCCATTATGCCCTGGACCCTGTGGGGATGATGGGCAGAATAAGTCTAGTCAGGGTCTGTGCCCAAAATATGACCAGGGACTTGCAGTAATTCAGACATTCCAACAGGAGTGAGTGAGTGAGTGAGTGAGTGAGTGAGTGAGTGAGTTGGTTTTAACACCACTTTGAACAGTATTCCAGTTACTTCACAGCATGTCAGTTTATTGTGGGAGGAAAGCCTGAAGTGATGCGGGTCTTACACACTGAGCACTTCGGTAAAACCCTCAAAAGAAGCAACACTAGACAATGAACTGTGACACCTTACACAACTAGGTAATCTGTCTCCCCTGTTCATAAATGAAATCTTCACAAACAATTTGACTTTTAAACATTAATAAATGTCCATCCATATCTTGCTGTGACCGAGAGACACAAATGATGGTCCAATTGATCTGTAGATCTTGTGTAGTTTTAGGAGATGGAAAATATTGTTCCTGATACTGGTACTCATACAAATTGTGAATGGGTACAAAATAATTGACATTCCTTGGGGGGTGGACTCAAGCTTAAATTTGGAAAAAACAAAAACAAAATAATAGATTGTTGCAATTCTTGGGTACCTTAGACCCTCAACAATTTGCCTGAGAGTCCACTGAACATGAAAATAGACTAACCTAGGAAAATTCTCGCTTAACTTAAATAGTCACCCACCTTGCTGGACACATGCTTGCTGGTGAAGTGCCTAGAGTGGAGTGTCGTACAAATGAAGGTCTGTGAGGTTAACAGATTGTGATCACCATGATACCATGCTCAAAGTTCACATGACCTTGACCCTTGCACGTGATTCTTATCGCTTGATCTTTTAGCTTTATATAACATACCTGCCCTGCTTATCATGCCTGGCATTCGAGTGTTCAACTTTGGACTACATTAGGCCATCCTTGATCCTTGTTTACAACACATACAAAATGTTACGTAACATACACTGTACCGTGACTGACACTACATTCACTGCTCGATGGTGTTATAGTATAGTTTGATACCACTTTGCTCCATATGAGTAGTGTTTTGCGCCGCTTTTAGCAATATTCCAGCAATATCACAGTGGGGGACACCAGAAATGGGCTTCACACATTGTACCCATGTGTGGAATCGAAACATATTTTGACAAATTAAAAATTTGAAACCTGAACAAAAGAACGTCTAGAATGGCTGATATATGGTCTAGATTGTATAGATTCAGTCATTAAGCCCGTAACTATCGTTCGGAATAACCTGTTTTAATGTTTTCAAGGCTGCATGATTAGAAATCACATTCCGACTGTCACTTTCATGATCTGGTAAGCGATGCTCTGATTGGTCGGATGAAAGGTCATTCTGACGTGACCCCTAATGGGATATCCTCAGATCTTTGTTTAGCGGTAGCGAGAACTAAGATCTGATTTTAATGAGATTGAAGAAAAACATTGAGACCCAGCGATGCAATGTCCCATCGCAAACTGTCAACCATATCGGACAACCATTCCATACTACTCACCTTCTGATAAGGATAATCAGATATACACTTGACATTTACGAGAAAGATCAATTTTGTGTATCATGGACACCTAAATATATACCCATCAAAATGAAAGAGTGGGTATGTCTTTTACGCCGCTGTTACTGTTAGCAATATTCCAGCAATATTACAGCGAGGGACTCCAGAAATGGGCTTCACACATTCTACCCATGTGGGTAATCAAACCCTGATCTTCGGCGTGATGAGCAAACGCTATACCACTAGGCTACCCCCACTCTCCCGCACATCAAATGATGAGTAGCAAAAGCAACTCGGTTGGTAGGGATCTTATTTAAACTGGGCATTACATGGAGGTCATTAATACGTGGCACCTTTATTTATAATAGAATATGGAAATATAAATATATAAGTTTATATACAAGTTTAACTCTCCAACATCAGGCTGAAGTCAAACGTTTATTGACCTGAGTCGCTTTACTTATTCAATATTAAAACTATAATTATGAATAGCACATATGGATCTATATTATTTCAAACGATGTCAGCAATCAGATTTTAACAATCATCTAAAATTCATGTGATTACAACCATATCTTGTCAAGATCATCCTCATGATAGCATTGTAAACATTTATCAGACAATGGCCGTCGGAACGAGGGGGCGGTCGTCTCGTCACCCTTTGACCATGTCAACGACCTTTGCGAGTCACGTGACTAAATATGCTCGGTCAAGTAAACAAACACAATTGTGGCGATTATGGTGGCCGTACTGTCGATACGTTATTGAAAATGTCGGACACGATGTGAGTATGAGGCGAATATCCATTCGCCCATGTGTTATTTTGTAGTCTCGTGCAACAAAGGCCGTCCACGAGAAGCGAGTTGAATCATACGATACGAAGCACTCTTATTCCCGCCACGAGTGATGAAATCGATCACTTCCGTGATTTTAATACTTCATTATGACCCTTTCAAATGAAGACAAAGCCATACAGAATAAAACAATTGGCGTAATTTAAGCATCAGAGAGCACACATCAGCTGCCATACCGCGTGTGGATGTGAGAATGTACGAGCGGCAAGTTTTTACCAACCCCTCGCACGTGGAAAGGCTGGCAAAGTGACGGGTGCAAAGACTATACGCGCTTTTCCTCGCAAATTCAGCCATTTGAAAAGGTTGTCATCAAATTAAAAGATGTGACATTCAACGATTCAAAACGAATGAACTAACCTTATTTGATTAATTTCCATCGTGTGTCACAAAAGAGCGATCATTACGTCTTCTACGGCGAGCGTTTTTCTCACACAGTTCTCCAAATACATGCGAAAGGTGACGTCATGCTACAAAGCTTGACTGGTATTGGCTGGCTGGCTGGCTGGAGCACATGCCTAGACTGTCACGTAGTCCCTACATGTTGATAATATTGAACTGATAATCCTTTGATATGTTATCGTTTCAATACGTCGTTATTTGATCAGTTTAGACCGTGTCATTTCATGATAGGAACTGACTGAGCGAACATTTCGACTGTCTAGATTTAGTCCAACGCCGCTCTCAGTGACAACATATTGGCTAATGTTATGTCGTTTCTGGACGAAGCAATATTAAATACAGTTTAGGTTGTGTTTCATGTCAGACGCTTTCCGCTTGCGTGAGGCAGTTTAGAATCACTTGACATGACAATACGTTTAAAAGAAAATGGTAATAATTACAAAACTAAAGCATTATTATTTCGCTACATGGGGATTGAATTCGCAGGTGAGTCGTCACTTTTCGGCTATATGTGATATATATATGACAATACGTTTAAAAGAAAATGGTAATAATTACAAAACTAAAGCATTATTATTTCGCTACATGGGGATTGAATTCGCAGGTGAGTCGTCACTTTTCGGCTATATGTGATATATATATATATATATATATATATAATGTGCATGCTTATTTCCATACCTTATAAGAATAAAGAAATATAAAGTTAGATGATAAATCATTAAAGTAACACATTATATCATGTAGCACAGTTGGCGTACTGACGTCACACAATACAAGTTATATAAGATAATTAAATGTCAAAGTGTGGCCTATCCGTCCATCGTAACGTTGTTCGTCATTTGCAGTTAAATCTCAGCTTCATTATTGACAGATAACTATAAATGTCAATCAGGTAAAGTCAGTTTATTCATGTCCATTTGCTTATATTGTACAATCAGAATGTAGTACGTACTCCTGTTAATCATCATTTTCATGTATAAAATTGTATGTTTGTACTGATATGAAAAAAAAGATACGGCCGGGTTGGCAGTCGACCTCCCGTCACGCCCTTAGTCGACGCCTACCGCTCTGAGTGTAATAAAGGGGGCGGTCGGGTAGCCTAGTGGTTAAAGCGTTCGCTCGTCACGGCGAAGACCCGAGTTCGATTCCCCACATGGGTACAATGTGTGAAGCCCATTCCTGGTGTCCCCCGCCGTGATATTGCTGGAATATTGCTTAAAGCGGCGTAAAACCATACTCACTCACTCAGTGTAATAAAGACACGATTTTCAGAAAGACTTGCATCTTATATGCGATTCCCTATCACCAGTTAAGAGGTGATTGTTACTCACTTCATACTTATGTAAAACGATCCCCTAGCGTCAATTAGGTGGTGACTGTATATAAGTAACAAACAAACAAACAAACAAGACTAACAATTAAACGCCAACGAAACACCCGGAAGTAACAATTGTCGTCCCTTATTTGTGTCCTTTGGAACTAGTGCAGTGACATTCGTCGGAGTGGTTTATTCTCCCTGGCGGTCCCTGCAGTGTTTTATTGTACGATAAACAACGACCACGAGTCGTTTATTTCTTATATGACATATCAACATTATGTTGGTTGGTTGGTGTGTTGTTATACGCCAAATGTGAAATTTGCGATTAAACATCACTAGACATGTTGATTGTATTCCATCTGTGACTAAATTCCCAGGTCCTCCGCTCACAGTTGGTTGGTTTGGGTTTGTTGTTTTACGCCGCACTCAGCAATATTCCAGCTATATGACGGCGGTCTGTAAATAATCAAGTCTGGACCAGATCATCCAGTAATTGATATCATGAGCATCGATCCACGCAATTGGGATCGATGACATGCTTCAACCATGTCTGCGAGCCTGACCACCCGATCCCGTTAGTCGCCTCTTACGACAAGTATAGTCGCCTCCAACATATGTCTTATTAAGGATGTTAATAAAATGTACAAGCTTTTGAAAAAATCCCCTATTTAATAATGATGACTCCCTGAATAGAATCCGACTTCGGCAATGTCGGACAAGTTTTATTAACAGGTGGGATAAGTTTGGTATTTCCCGCATATTCTCACAATCCTCACGTCGATTATCTGTTAATACCGATAGTCATATTTCTACCAATTTTTGATGACATCGTTCGCGCACTTTGTTTTCGTTGCCCAGCTGCATCTATGGGGAACAACTCACAAGACACTTCCCTCTAAAAAATAACGTCGTCCATTGTATACGACGTCATCAAGTTGCGAGCGTATGTTCGAATCTCCAAAAATGAGAGAAAATATCATGAAATAAACCACGCTTCGCTCTTAAATGTTCTTTGCTATTTATCGCATAGCATTCTTATATTTAGAAATAAAATTGTTATTCAAATTGATACCCTTGAAGCCCGTGAAGATTCCGGGGTAGAACAGGTCTTCAGCAACCCATGCTTGCCGTATATGGCGACTATGCTTGTCGTAAGAGGCGACCAACGAGATCGGGTGGTCAGGCTCGCTGACTTGGTTGATGCATGACATCGATCCCAATTGCGTGGATCGATGCTCATGAAATTAAACACTGGATTGTCTGGTCCAGACTCGATTATTTACAGACCGCCGTCATAAAGCTGGAATATTGCTGAGTGCGGCGTTAAACAACATACAAACAAACAAATGATACCGTCGATGTACACATGCATGTTTAAATCGTTTTATACACTATTGGTTGATTTTGTTCCAAATTCTTAAAGTAATCTGTATACATTTTGACCACGTTTATCACCCGATGTTGTTTATAACTATTCACAATAAGCACAATAAATGTCGAAATTAAAATTTAAGAAATAAAAAAAAATAATTGACGTAATCATATCGTTATCAGATGGAAGAGGAAAAAACAGAAATGATCACATCATCCTAAATACGTATACAGAAATGCATTCTTTCAACACTCACAGTCTGTTTCCGTTCACAACATGAAGCATGTTCCACGCATGCCTGGCGACTTCTTCAGATACGTGACTATATACGTGTCTACATTCACGCCCATTTTATTTATACCCGATTGGGGCGTTTGTTATGCGTATACAATGCTGGTTGCAGGGCTGGTTTATATCACGTACCCTACCTGTGTACAAATCACTCATGATCTGTTTTGCCCCTTTCAGAAAGGTGTTGACGTCCGTGTTATATTGATTTCTGTTTACATATAAAGATGTCGTGTGACAGGCTCGATTTGTGTGACAGGTTTGTATTTTATAAATATTAATGTTAGTTTTTGGTAAGTAATTAAATAAATAAAAATTCAAACTTATGTTGCCACATGTAATGTGGCCGTGATATGATATTTTAAATACCCGCAGAGGAAGGATCTTTTATTTAAAGATAATCATCGAGTCACATTGATGGACTAGGAGATCTACAATAACACGTGGCCTAAACACGCCACACCCCTTACTGTGTATGCGTCAGTTTTACATGTTGATTAAACGTATCTCACACAACAAATATTTAATTGAATAAATGCTATGTATTGCTCTAAGTTTTTGTAACACAAAACGTACCCCCATCCGTTTGCGAAGTGACTGATCGATGACTACCGTTAATTTGGGAACCGTTTGTTTGTTTGTTTTGTTTGTTGTTTAACGCCACACTCAGCAATAGTCCAGCTATGACGGCGGTCTGTAAGTAACCGAGTCTGGACCAGATAATCCAGTGAGTTACATCATGAGCAACGATCCACGCACTTGGGATACGAGCAAGCCTGTTCCCGTTACAACTTACCACAAGCGTAGTTGCCTCTTACGAGAAGCATGGGTTGCTGAAGACCTATTCTATACACCGGTTCTTCATGCGGTCACTACCACTAATGAGAGACATTGCTGCAAGGTCCATTTTCTGTCTAGGTCTAGACGTTGTAATTGGTGTGAAAATGTCATTGCCTTTGTGTAATTATTGTAATCAGTCACTGTTAAAAACATGCATATTACATTTTGAGCTAGCAGACAACGTAGTTAAAAAATTGACACTCAGCAATATTACAGCCATATGAAGGTGGCCTGGGAATAATCGTGTCTGGACGGACAGAGGAAGGTCGGTAGTTCGATCCCCGAGCCGCGTCATACTACAATACGTCATAATGGTACTTTTTGTTACCCTGGAACATTGCTGGAATATTGCTAAAAGCGGCGTAAAATCATACTCACTCACTCTCCCAGGAAGCGCTGCCTAGTCAAACCCACCAAGAACATTTAGGGAGAATGTGAAGACTCCCCAACATTGCAGCCTTCTGCATTACCCAGATTGTCAGAAGGGCTGTATTCCTGGTAGCACATCCGGGTACTCTCCCAATGTCAGGCACCAAACCTAAGGCACCGAGAACAATGGGGAGTCGGACAACCATGGATATTATGAAGAAGTTGATTTGAAAATGTTGAGTGATTGAGTGAGTAAGTTGGGTTTAAGGCCGCTTTTAACAGTATTCCAGTTATATCACGGCATGTCAGCTTAATGTGGGAGGAAAGCCCGAAGTGATGCAGGTCTCAGACGTTTACCACTTTGGTGAAACCCAAGAGCACGGGTCTGGTGCTGACAAACCTAGAAACATAATCGGGGCGAACCGGGATTAGAACCAACGATCATAGGTTTCTGGCGTGCCTAAGAATCACGACGCTATAGACGACTGGATCACCCGTGCTCTCCGACAATCTTGAACACCCGGTAGTATTGAACTCACTTGCACAGAAAGTTGAATATTACCCATGCAGTAAGTTAGGGTCACGTGTGAGTGAGTGAGTATGGTTTTACACCGCTTTTAGCAATATTCCAGCAATATCACGGCGATAGTCTTCGGCGTGACGAGCGAACGCTTTAACCACTAGGCTACCCGACCGCCCCCGGGTCACGTGCGATAATTTTCCGATACTTGCACGTGTGTTTTAGCGAGTATCGATAACGAGGTGAGTTGAAGTGATCGTTCTACAATGACACTGAAGGATGATCGATTCTGATTGTTTAATTTTACTAAATTTGAAGAGGTTGGTGAGCGATAGAAACTTGTAATCGCATCACTGAACCGAAAACGTCCGTTTGTAGAAAAGCGTTCTGTCATGGTTAC